ATTTTGAATCTGGAAGGCTAATGAATTTAACTCATACAGTGATCCTAAAAGAACATTAATTTTAGGGTACATTTTAGGCAGCTAGTGTGTGGGCAGCGCTCTGTCAGATCCAAAGAGAGGCACAAGCCAGCAGCTGAAAGTTCTGTCATTCCCATCACGTACTAAGAAAACTGAACAAGGACTGTGGTTTCTGGGCTGGCTTGTTGCCATCCAGGCTTTGCAGCTCCAAAGAAGGTGGAAAACCCAAGTATTTCTCACCCTTCAATATTACATAGTACTGCTGAGGTAAATGGTTTGCCAAATACTAGAACCCTTGGTCACATTTCTTATAGTTTAGACTTAAGAAGAGAAGATACTGTGTATTGTCATTGTAAATTCAGAATAACTGTGCCTTACATGGACTGTCACATGGTACTCCTGAACAGAAATTGGACTTCAGGGTTTAATTGAAATCATAACCTTTCATTTTTGAGTCATGTTTAAGGAGTTCAGATATTTCTTTTGTTTTCTCTCACCTTAAAAGCTGACTGGATATTAGGTGAATATAGCACTGGAAAACTTCTGTGTATAAGGGTGCATAAGGTGTTGTTATAAAACAAATAGGATTGAATTGCTTATGCCAGTTGTTACTGTTATACAGTCATTGCATTAGGGTATTTTGAATTGTAAATAGGAGGAGAAAGTCTGTTTTGGGGAAATTTATTCCTTTTTGGATTGTTACGAAGAAATGCATTTGTGTGTGTTTTGAGATATTCTTGAATTAGGGAATATAAAGGTTGCATAATCAGGTCCTATTTGTATGTCTGGTAGACTCAGGGTGGCTGTCTGGGGGTTTTCACACAAGGTGCAGGTAATTACTGAGAGTCTGAAAATTCTTCCTGTCCTGTTCTCTCACCAGCCAGGTTTAGGTAATGCTCTTCCACCGTGGCCCTGTACCAGAAACAAAGGGTAAATGTAAGGAAAAGTCTTCTTCAAAATGGAAAAGCTTGTCAAAACTGCATTTCTCCTAAGGAATAAACAATGATCTTTGGGACAATTAAAACAATAAGTAGTCTTTGCTATAGTTCAGATTATGTGTCCTTGACATTAAGTGTGTTTTTGTGTTCTCAAACAGGAAAACACTTCATGACTGGGCGGTAAAATGCTCCAGTACTAATAGTTTTACTGCTTTAGTGGTGCTGTTCGAGGGTCGCTTAGTGGGGCTGCTGTTGGAATACTGAAGAAGTAACACTGATTAGTCTGTCTCTGTTCTCTGCTGTATTTCCTTACCTGCTTTCATTGTGATATTAGAAAAATCATCCTCTCACCCCTTTTCCTGTGTTAGGGGCTCAGCGTGGTCTGAATACACGGAGTCGTTCTCAAAATGCCTTCAACCTTCTGAAACAGAAAGTAGGAACTGAGGGGGAAAAAAATCTACCAGTTAGATTTCAGTCCTTTACTTAAAGTTACTGTGTGCTTATTATTCAGTAAGCAGAGCAATAGGCTCTCTGTTGTGTTTTATTATGTATTATTTTATCTTCAGAAAAGCATAACATCATAGCTGTAGCTGAAGAACCCAGAACTTCAATAAAGATGATTTATACTGTCTTTAACAACAAGCTATTTGACAAGTACAGTAGGAATAATACATCAAGAGATTGGTTTCTGAATATACTCTGAAATTTTGATTTCTCTGTAGTAGGTTACTTCATCCTAGTAGATTAATGAAAGTATCATTCTTATGATTGTTTACTTTCCACAAAAATTCTGGGGTTTTGGAACAAAGGAAATAAGTACATTTATTCATTAGAAAACATTTCATTATTTCTGCTTCATTTTGCATTTCTTTGTCCTAAACCATTTAAGCTTTCATTTTTCTCCTGTCTCAAATAGAAGGTTGCTGAATTTAAAAAATGAACAAAACAGAAAAACAAACAAACAAACAAAAAAACCCCAAGAAAACTCTCCCCCCCCCCCAGAAGGCAGCTGGTTTGATGTGATGAGGGATAATTTTGTATCACACCTGGGGAAAAAAATTAAAATTAAGTAATAGGTATAAGTTCATTGACTAAACAAAACAGCTGCCCTTTTAATGGTGGTAGGTTTACATATTCCAGCTTCTTGGAGAGTTCAGTTAGAGAAGTTAGGACGAAATCAGGATGAAGTTATCTGAAGTTGTCCAGGAGAAAGCTGGTTTGAGTCCTTTGATTTTAAAGGCAGAGGAAATAAGTTATTCATATATTAGAACAAGTTTAAGCACCTCTGACATCTCTTCCTGTAGACTGTGATCCACTACTGGAAAGTGCTTGATGGGGAATTCAATGTGCTGCAAAGATGGGTTTCCCAGTAAACATAAGACTCAAACTATCTTGAAGAAATTGTAATCTTCAAAATCTATCATGTCATTAAATAATTCTTTTCTAGTGGCTTCCTCACGTTGGTTCAAGGTGTAATGATTCCTTGGGCTGCTGTTACTAATTCATTGATATCATTCTGATAGTGGAAGTAAATCATAGCAGCACAAGCATTCCCATAAAAAAAGTATTACATCTTTGGTAGCATGGTTCAAAGAATTCTGCATAAAACAATTCAGGAAGGAGGAAGAAAGTTTTAATAACTATACTTTCTCTTTTGTTTTTATAGAGTGTGGCTCTGCTATCCTCAGCTTTTTTTAGATGTTTCTTAAACCAGTTAATTTACTGGTTTATTGTTAGGGTGACAACACCCAAAATAATAATTTAATTATTATTTTTGTCTCACTAGAATTCTTAGTGCTCCAAAAGATTAGTTTTGTCCAGAAGTTTTCTAACAGTGGCTTTATAGAGTATTTGGATGTTTTCTAGATCACATAATTTGTATTAATTATTTAAAATTGTTTGGATGCAGATTCTGTTGAATATATGTATATATTGCTATGTGCAAAATGTCCATCATGGTTTGCTCAGTTTTCTGAAGGAGAGGAAGATTTAAGTAAATTCTGTAATGAATACAACACAGTTGAGGAGCATTACATTTTCAGCTGGAAATTTTCCTGTGTCAGAAGTTGCCAGCCAGTGCCTGGTGGTTGTGTGCACTCTGGCCCGCTTTGAGCTGTGCACCACAAGCTGTTCAGCCGAGCAGAAGGAAGGTCCTCTTGTGTGGAATTACCCCATCATGGAAACAAGAGGCAGATGTGACTCAAGACGTCTTCTACATCATCTGCCTGCCCTGGGAGTGCAACACTGGGCTGAGAGCATCAGTGTTGTGCGTTGCTGTGTAAGGTGCCACCCATCCTACCTCATGCAGGGAGCCCTGAGCTGCTGCCAGGCAATGCTGGTACCCCAGGAATGCTCTGCAGGTGCTACGACCTGTGAGCATCTCGAAATAGCAAAGGAGCCAAAGACCTTGTGACTGTTCAACTCTCCTGCCAAGAGGCTCTTGAGATCATGAGTGTCTTAAAAAGTCTTAAGATGTGAGAGTCCTTGATAGTCTTAGGAGTGCTGCTGATTCTCCCCCCTACTTCTCGAAAACACGAAAAATCCCACCTGCCACAGACAGTCTAGAAGCAGCTGGCAGAAACACAGGCTGGCTGAGAGCGGGTGTGTAAGCTGGATTAGAGATGTTCAAATATTCTTGTAAACATAGTTAACCTATCCTCAGCAATCAGTCTCAGCTGGATGAGTACTACAGAGTTCTGACACTTTTGGAAAATCTAAAACTGGCTATGCTGTCTCAATAGCTTTTTCAAAAAGAACCATCTGTAATAAAGCACGTGCATATATTAGAATAATTTTAAGAAGATGTTTACATCATAATGAATGGGAAAAAATATTGCAATACATGATTTGCATCCTTAGAACTCAGCAGCCTCAGTGAAACTTCCCTGTGTCAAACATTAGAAGAATGCGAGTTCATATTAGGACTTTTAAGGAAATAGAAATGGAACAACTTCTAAGCTGTCCTGAAAGTCTGCCTTAAACTTTAAAGAGATTTTAAAATTTCTATTTTTTTTAAAGGTTCCCATGGCAATGCTGTGGTTAAATGGTACAAATTTGCTGAAATACCTAATGTAGAGCATAATTATCTACCATGGAATATTCAGCTGTTTTAAGTTTTGCCCAGGAAAGCCTTGGCACAGGTGCATCTGTTTATTAAATGAGAACTAGAGAAGACACATTTTTCTAATGGGGCCTTTGTTTATCACTGTGAGAAGGCCGTTCCAGGTGCATCCCATAAATGACCTGTGCATCTCTTGTTGCCAGCAAGGTTTTGGACCCCCAGGTGCACATAAAAAGGTGGTTTGTATAAGAGTGGTATGTACAAGGATTGAAAAGAAAAACTGTAGTCTAATTCCAGCCTGCCATAAGGCTGAGGCCAAAATCTAATCTGATTTTGCACTAATAAGAAACTGCAGAATATCTTAGCAGATTTTGCCTAGTTAGTTCTCAGATCTTCCATGGATTTGCAGAGGACCCACCAGTAATTTTGGCAGGATGAACGCAACCAAGAGCTTGCTTTCCACTCATCAGGAGCCTAATGATCTTCTGGCATGGCTCAGTGGGAAATAAGGGTTCAGAGTTAGAGGGTGAAATGGTCATTTATTGAAAGGTGCACTGGCTTTTTTCTTTTTTCCACATTTCATAATCAGACTTCTCTTGGTCTCCCACAGTCTTCAGCTGTGACCGAGGCAGGTCATTAGAAAGAACCAGCAGTTTTGAGAGACAGTGTGGGCAGCAGGTGGAGCAGTTGGGTGGGGTAGGTGAGAGAAGCTTCCCAAAGAGTACTTCTCCAGAGGCAAAGGAGCCATGCAACAGTGAGTAGGAGCAGCAAATGGTTAAGGAAGGAAGAAATGCTCCTTGGTGGTTGAACAAGAACAGAGAGGAGAGTCTGGAATTACAGGTTCGTTTCTTCTCTCAGAGCAGCCGCGACGAGGGTCCAAGGATTCCCAGGTCAGATCACAGAGAGGCCCCATGCAGTGCACAGGACTCCTCTGCTCTTTAGATTATGGTTTTAAATACCACTTTTTTCCCCTCTGCTTTCAGGTCCACTCCTTTTTGGAAGGGAAGATGGGTGATTAGATGGCATCTACACCAGGTCTGGATGTTCTCATACCAAACATTCTGTTCTGCTTGATGCAGAAGGAAGGAAGCATTTGAGGTACACTTTTTATAGTCTTTTTCCCTGTAACATTTATTCTTGTGGAAAGCTTTGTTAGCACAGTACTTTCACTGTTAGATATTCCTCTTTCTTGGAAAAAAAAGTCTGTTATTTATTCAAACCAAGGTCTGGCTCATTTCCAAGGCTGCAGGTGCATTATCTCAGGGAGCAAAATTGTCAGCAAAGCTGTGCAGACTACAACATTATAAAGTCACGACTTTTATTAAAGACCAGGCCAAAAAGAAAGCAACTGTCTTTTTTTTTTCTCACAAACCTGCTGGTGGCTTAGAGTGCAGTTTGTAGTAAGTATACTTTCTGAAAGGATAGATATACTGGACTCACCCTTCTCTTTGGAAGAAGTGGTAACAGTTCTAGGACTTTATTAAAAAATATGAGGGGGGTGGTATCTAACTCTTGGAAAAGATGTATTAGGAACTACTATGCTAAAAGATTGGGTTTGTGTTTATTTATAGTCTGCTCAGCACTTTTTTATTTGCTTTATGGCTATATTAAGGGCTTGTTAAGTCTAAATTTGATGTCATACACACCATCTTCATAATATATATATTTGGATTTCACATATTATCTCTAGAGTAAACAATAAGTATGCATAATCACCTAATCACTTCTGTGGAAATGATAAATCATAAGATGAATGGCTTTACCAGTTTGAAAGGGAAAGAAAAATATATAATTTATGAAGGAGGTTCTTCTACAGGAGGTTATGAAGAGGCATAATACAAAATGAAAACCTTTTTTTATTTCTGGGTGTGATGTTTTTAAATAGCACTTTCTACAGTAACTAGATTTTCATGTTCATTCAGGGCACTGTAGGTGCTGGTACCTCACCTACACTCACATTTATTTCCCCTCTACATCAGCAAGAGTGAGGGGAGATGTTTCTGAGGAAAGTACTTGGGACCAAAGGATCCTAAAGAGCTGGCAAATTTATGTGTTACCTTTGCCATCATAGACATTTTCTTTAATGCCCAGAAGTACAACCAGCTGAATGTGAGCAGACTGTTCAGCCTCTGGAGAACCCCATTGCCTTCAGGAGTAATCAGCTTGGGCACAGCAGTATGACCCTAAAGTGAACTGCTGAGTACAGCCATGAAACATCACCAGCTTTGTCCCATTGCTTTGGTTCTAAGAGCATGATTGTGAGAATGAGAAAAGCCACAGTAAATCAAAGCAATCTAAGTAAACACACCAGCAAAATTTCCCTTTATTCAACACGCTATTCTTCTACTCTATTTATCAATTCTTTTTTACCCTTCACCTCTTATTAAACCTAAATGGAAAGATCAGAGGGAAAAAAAACACCAAAGGGAGGGAAGGATCAAGTAAGTTTTATCTCACTGAAAGGAATGATAAAGGTCCCATTGACTTCAATGGGCACATCTCCTTCTGTGCTTTACTTTGATTCAGAAGCGTGCTTTTGAAGCAGATCATCAGCACTTGCTGTGCTTTGGCTCACATCCTGAAGTGTTTGTAGAGACACGAACTGAGTTCCTTTGGAGTTAGACTGAACTTAAGGATGTATTCCAGACACACACCTGATGTGCTTCAGCCTCACATTCAGACCACAGGATGAGAGAAGGGCTAATCTGAAGTACAAATGCTCTCGAGTGGATGTAACGTGGACATTAAGTTCTGTGCAGCACCACCTTAATGTTTTACATCTTCTCCTGCTAGGCCACATTATTGGCAAACACAGACATGAGCAATGAATCCAGGATTAGTCTATATGCTTGTTGTTTTGAAAGACATTGGACTCTTTGGTGCATTAACAGCTTCCTTAAAATACGTTGAGTGATGTGATGGCTTCCAGAAATGAGGGAGGATTCAGCTGAGATTCAATATGGAACTGAAATTCTGAGAAGAAAGGAAATATCTGAAATTAATTTGCGATTCATCTTTTGAGTTCAATAATATTGTGGATTATAATTTAGGGGATTCACGTATAAAACTGTTGTTATGAAGTACTGTCAACGTGCTTGACTGGTCTAGAACATCTTGAAGAAGATGACATTTTGAGAATGAGTGTTTGCAGTACAAACTTACAAATTAAATACTCTGTTTAGAGCAAAATAGCTGAGCTGTATTTTCTTTCTTTCTAGCACTGTAATAATACCTTGTGAGGCATCGTTATAGTTTTTGAGGGGTTTTCTAAATGAAAATTTGAAAGGAAAAATTGGGCAGCTCTTTTGTGACAGGGAACAGGAGCATACACAGATGTGATTTTATGCATTGTATTAACTTTTTGTGGTCTTACAGCACATGTCTTTTCAGTTGGGACCACTTTAAAATATACCATTAGTGATCTGAATTAATTAGAGGTAATGTAAAAATCAAGGGCTTAAAAAGACATGTCACATAGCATGTGTTTGTTCATTAGATATGACAGTAACTCTGCAGGGGAAATTAATATTGATATGTATATTGAAACAGAAATACACTGGAGAGGAAGAGAGGCTGAGGAGACTGCTCTTTGCCAGCCTTAATACTGGGAAAAAATTATATTGACTACAATTTCTAAGCATGTTCTGTTGGTTCCTCCCAGTATAATTTCATTTCTCTGAGAGAAGTGATGATTCCAGTAATACTCCTATGTTTCAGGCACGGAAAGCACCATAACTGAGTCAATTTTCCTAGCTACCATTACACTAAAATATTTCTGTGAAAACTTGGAGACTGTGCTACCACCTACACAGGTTTTGTTGGGTACATGAAAGCAGGAGCAGTCAGTCTACATATTAAGCTTTACACAAATTTCTCCATTAAATTTTCTGACTGTCTTTGTGGGGTAATCAATCTATGTCAGTGTTGCTTCTATGCTCTCTTTGGTAGTAAGCCAGCAGGTTTTGTGTATTTGGAGTAGGGCAGTGGGCTTTTGTGTCAAGCATAGATTTTTTTTTTTATTGTTTAATTTTTAACTGGGTGAATTTAGAGCTGTATCAAGATGCATATCTTACATTTCAGAACCATTTGTAAATGTTTTGATTAGCAGAAGTTTGTCTGCAGTTGGGTAAAATTCTAGTGTATTTTTTTAATGTAAAAAAATATCCAATGTCAGTTATTAAATAGCTAAGAACATGAAGTGTGTTGTAAATCAGTGATATGCCTGGTTACTGCCTATAAGAAGAGCCTCATCTCTATTGGGATTCTCCAGTGGGACAGTAAATGGAACAGAGTGTGCTGATAGGGTTTCCTATCATTCTTCTCAATTTTTTTGCTTTGTTCCTGCTTTCCCTTTTTGAGATACGCACCAGACATAAGAACCTCCCACTACAAAAGTTCCCATAGTAGCATCCCCGAGGAATTCAGAACAAACTGCATGCCATCAGCAGACTCTAGTTTAGATGCAGCTGTGCTGATGAGTGCCTTGGCTGGCTTAGCTTCTGGTAGCTGGGAATTTCTGTCCTTCTGCAGCTGTACCACAGAAGAACTCTCACCTGTGGTATCTCCAGCAGAACTGTGTGTGGCTTTAGCTGTGCTACAGTGGCTGTGTGGGATTAAAATTTGATCAGTGCATGAAGTCTTGAGGGTTTTAAGTGCCTTGAAGTAAAGAAGACTTTTGTATGTGTGTTTGTGTGCATTTATATAACTTCCCTGAGTACCATGGGGTACCTGGCTTCAGTGCTTTGCAGTGATGTTCTGACACACGCTGGTTATCTGTAAAAAAGTACTAGTTCGGTAGTGAATGGATTGTAAGCTTCTGACCTTTCTCCCATGTGAGATTATGGCCCATGACCCAAAAGGTCAGGGCAGTTAATCAGAGCCACTGCCATTGAAACACAGTTTTCTGGGTATGAGCATCTAAACAAAAACTGGCACACGTTTTTATTCTCTCAGTGTAGCCCAAAATAATTTGCCGACAGGCTTGTCTTCATTGTTGCCTTTCAGGTTTGTTCCAAAGGATTGTACAGAAAATTAATACTTTTTCTAACACTTTCTCTAAGAACGTTCATTCTTGCATTCTTCTTGCTGTTAGGTTGTTGGTTTGGGTCTATGTTTTTCTTTATAAGAAACAGAGCCTGTATTCTTTCCAGTTACTAGCAAGCAGAGAGCCTTATTTATGTTGAGCATAGAAAAGGTTATTTGAACATTGAAATAAAATCCTATTTATGTTAATCTGTTGTTTGAGTGCTGTGACGAGGATTTTTTTTTTCTGTTCAAGACAACAAGGTGGAAATGAAGTGATCAGCTCGAAAGGACTATAGTGCATGTGAGATAGCTCAGCAGCATAATCAACTCTATTTCCTGTATCCTCTTTCTAGCAGGTTTGAAGGTGTGTGCCTGGTCTGAATAGCAAAACCATGTGCAATGGCTACAGTTCAATTCAACGAGTTCCTTATTTGTCATAATTTATGCCATAGAAATAATACTGGAGTATTTGCTTTGTGACCAAAGGGGTGTAGATTGCTGAGCTGGCTCAAGATTTATTTCACAGAAATAACAGGAGTGCTTAGTATGTTGAAAGTTTCTGTCCTTCTGGTGGGGTGGAATCCTGACACACTCCAATAATTGGCTTACCAGTGGAAAATATGAGACCTCTCTGATAAAGCAATAGAATACTGAGACTTTAATTCTTTTTAACAAGAGTTTACTTTTATGGCTTATTGGTAAAATCATGTGATATTGTTCAAATTCATGAATTATGTAAAATTACCCTGTAAGCTCAGAAAGGCCAGGAGGGTCCTTAAAAGTGCTGTTTCAGGACAGGCTGTACATTTTTTTGCACTTGAAGAAAATTCCCTTTCTTTCTTCCTGTCCGTGTCTTTTTACAAACAGCTCTAATGATCCAATTTATATGTCTATCAATACCTTATGAACTGGAGGAGTTGAAACTTTGCAGAGCAGGCTCATATCCTTTCGAGGGAACAGAGGGAAATTAGGGTAGATTGCATTGTTGCTTGTACCAGTTTTCTCTGAGGATGTGAGCCAGCAATGGCAATGCTAAAGGGTTTGCAGAAGGCCAAACAGGTGGTTCTGGCAAT